AAAGGTTTAAATCCTTAGCTTAAAAAAAACCTTTTTGGAAAGTAAAGTAAAAAAAAAAAAATTTTTTATCAGCTTTGGTTGTTTTGTAAAGACGACGACGACGACGACGGGGGGAAGGGGGGGGCATAACGTTCGGAAAGGTAGTAAGAAGAAAAATATAAAAGGGATGTTGATGATGATGAGAAAGTAAAATACTGGAGGGATGGTGAAGAAAATTAGAAGGAGGAGGAAACCATCAAGTTGTAGAAATTTTCAAGAATGGTTGGGGAGACAGAGTGTGGGAAGGAAGGAACAAGATGGCGAATGGGGTGGGTTGGTGGTGGGGGGGGGGGTTTAAAAGAACCCACGGTAAAAACTCATAAATTTAAAAACTCGCAACGTGTCTGGGAATTTAAGTTTTCTTTTCGTTTTTTGTTAAATAGTATATTTTTTACATGGTGTAATAAATTCACAAACGTTCGCCCCGGCGAAAAAGGTTTGTTTTTGGCAATTTAGGACAAATATCCTTTTTACCACAAGGCAACGACCACCACCACCATCACCCTCATCACCCCCACCACCACCATCAAACTCCCGATCGTTTCCTTTTTTCCCTGCATTCTACCAAATTGTATTTATCGAAATAAATCATTATTATTATTATTATTGCAATATTTTTTTTTATTGGGGAATTGAGCATTTCCGGTTAGAGAAAAAAGAAAAAAATTGAATTACCTGTAATCGTCTCCTTCGCTTAACTGACGAACTGATATTGGAAATTCAGTTGGTCCGTGAGCTTTTAAAAGTTCTTGGAGTCGTACCAACCCCTCATTGCTTTCGTAGATAATTGTAAAACTTTTCCATCCCCACGCTTTGACCAAATCCACGTAAGCCTTATTAAGTAAAAAAAAAAAAAAAAAAAAAGTTTTTAATTAATTTCTGTAAATTTTTTTTTTTTTTTTTCGTATGTTGGCATCTTCAACACGCAAAGTTTTTAACTTTTCATTTTATTTTCATTTTCTTCTTTTTCTTTTTCTTCTGTATTCTTGTTTGTGTGTGTAAGGGCGTGCGTGGAGGAGGGGCGTAGAGGGGGGCGTGTGGGCGTGTGTGTGTGTTCATTCGAAACATTTCTAGAAAATTTTTGTTTTCTTTTGTTTTATTTTGTTTTTAATAAATAAAAATGACTTTTTTTTTAAATAAATAAATAAAAGAAACAATTAAAAATTTTTTTTTTTGGTAAATAAATAAATTTTTTTTAATGGTTTTCTCAACAAACAAACAAACAAAAAACAAAATAAAACGTAATAAAAATTTAAAAAAAAAAAAATATACACAAACAATCGTTACGTTTGTTTTCGCTTTTTCTCCTAACCGTGAATTAATTTAAAAAAAAAACAGTTTAAACTCCATCTCCATTTTATTATATATATTATTTAAAAGTTTTTCGAATGAATACATTTTCTGCCAACTTAATCTTTGCTAACTACCGACCTCGTTCAAACAACCGCGACAAACGAATTTTTATATTTTTATATTTTAATAGGGGAAAAGAAAAAAAGTCTCTCGTTGGAATAAGAAATAGGACAATTAGTCAGTCAGTCAGTCAGTCAGTCATTCCCTAAAGTGAATTATTCATCTTAGCCTTAATAATAATAATAATAATAATAATAATAAATATTAGTTAATTAAAAACTTTTAATCCGAAAGTTTTCGAATAAAAAAAAAATTTTTTTTTTTAATAAATTAAATCATAATGATGGTGATGATGATTATAATTATAATGATAATGATGATAATGATGTAAGAACGAGTGAATGATTAAAGAAAAAAATGGAAAAAATGTCAGGTGTGCGTGCTTTTGTTAAATTTATTCTTCGATGTAAAAAAGAAAAAAGAAAAAGGAAAATCTTACTTTGGATAATGAAGCCGGATGAGGATAGAGATTAACCAAACAGCTTTCTCTTCTCAACCGGAAATCCCATCTCGTTTCCAAATGCGGTATTTCCATCGTGTCACAAATGCTTTGTACGTGACTCGCAGTTTGGGGAGACTGAGGGCCGAATATGGCGGCGACTCCGCTCCTCAACAAATGACATACTCTTTTAGATGCGTGAAAACTATCCTGAGGTGATATTTTTTCAATTTGAGCGGATAATCTTGATCTCGGAAGTATCGTGCGATCCGAATTTATTTTTTCAACGGCATAACGAAAAGCTATTTCCTGATTGACATCCGTCGGATGAAACAAACCACCTTAAATCACGTGAATCATACGTAAATTTCCTTTTGATAAAAAAAAATTATCATTATTATTATTATTATTATCATTACCTATTCTTATAACTTCGGGAAGTGTTGCTGCCAACCTAACAATTGCCAAAATCAAAACCCAATTCGAAGTAATCATCATCATTCTTTAGCATTTTTATTATTTACTCATTTTTTTTTTTTTTTTAAAACGCCATTCGTTCGTTATTTATTATCATTATTATCATTTTACGGCCACACTTTATTAATATGA